GGAGGAGAGGGAACGGCCTCCAGCTGGGCCAGGGGAGGCTCAGGTTGGCCAGGAGGAGGAATTTGTGGCTGGAAAGGGTGGTGAGGCCTTGGCAGGGGCTGCCCAGGGAGGTTTGGAGTGCCCAGCCCTGCAGGTGTCCAAGGCAGGCCTGGCCGTGGCACTCAGTGCTCTGGGCTGGGGGACAAGGTGGGGATGGGGCACAGGGGGATCCATGGGCTGGGAGGGCTTTTCCAGCCCCAATGATCCCACGGGAGAGGGTGAGGAAGGCTCAGGTGTGGGTGCAGTGTCTCTCTGGGGCTGCAGTGCTTTCCCAGGAGCGCCTCTTGGCTTGGGGGGCTTTATGGGTTTGTCAGAGCAGCTTTTTCAGGCTTTTACTGAAATTCCTCCTCCCGAACCTGAGGGAGTCTGTGAGAACTGTGGGAATGGGGGCACTCTTAGCACCCTAATCTGTTTGGGGGGCTGCTGGGAGCAGTTGGAGTTTACAGAGACCATCCCTCAGTTACTGTGTGTGGAACAGTGACAGACGGAGCAGGAGGGGACTCCCAGGGATTGTCCTGGCCCTGCTGAGGGCACTCCAACCATCCCCTGAGGAAGTGTGGGATGCTGGTTTGGTCTCTGGTTGTTGTGGGATGGGGGGAGGCTGCAGCTGCTCCCACTCTGCGTTTGGCTGTTCCCAGAAGGTGCTGTTGGTTTTGGGGAAACAAGCCCTTGTAATTGCAAGGCTGAGCAGATGGATTTAGTGCTTTCCTTGCAGGAGGCTGTGCTAGGCACAGCCTGTGTTGTTCCTGAGCTGGGACTGGGGAGCTGCCAAACCTGGGCACAGGGAAAGGGGCACGTTTGGCTTTAGCTGCAGTTGTTGGTGCTGGGGCAGCGCTGCCTTGAGAGGGGCTTTGGGAATATTCCTGGGATGGGCTGTGTGGGAATCGCCGAGCTTCCTAGTTCTGCACCCCTGGGTGCCGGGGTTAACTGGGCTTTGAGGGGAATACCGACATTTTTCTTTGGGGGATGCTGGAATTTTTTTTGATGAATATGGGAATTTTTTTTTTGTTAATATGGCATTGCTTTGCCCAATACTGGCATTGTTTTGGGAATGCTGTCATTCTCAGAGGTGGAGCTGCAGGCATTGGCCCCACTGTGGGAAAACACGGCACAATCCCTGTCAGGATTGCGCTGGATTTGTTGACAAACTCCCAGGGAGTGGTAGCAGACTTTGTTCTCGTTTGCTGTCAGGGAAGAGGTGTGAGAGGGGCAGCCCAGGGATGTGCTGTCACTGAGCTGGGGGGCTGCAAAGGGAACTGGGCCCTGTGGGAATGGGGCAGAACTCCTGGGAACAGCAACCTGTGGGAAGTGCAGGAGCGGGGAGCAGAGGGAAGGCACGTTCCTGTCATCCTCCTGCGGTGCATTCGCACTTGTCACGTTTGAAGCAGTTGTCAAATAGAGCTGAACAGGAAAATCAGTCCTGGAAAACCCTGGGAACGTTGTGGGAGCACAGTATGGAAACCGGAGCTGTGATTAGGGATGACACCTCCTTACCTGTGCTGTCACTGGAACATTGGTGTCCTTGTCCCCCTGGGGTCCTGGCAGGGTTTGGAATTGCTCAGTGTGCCCTAAACGCGCTGCCGTGGGTTCCATGGCTGAAGGATTCCGGTGGGATTGCTGCCCTCTCATGAGTGGGATGAAAAAGGAGTTTGCTTTCAGTAAAACCTGAATTCTTCTTTTCAGGTCTTGGGAGAAGACCTGATCCATCCTGAAAATGTTCAACAAATCCTTTGGAGCTCCGTTCGGAGGCAGCACCGGCTTTGGGACAACTTCAACTTTTGGGCAGAGTAAGCAAAGCATCTCAGCTGCGCTGAAGGTGCTCTTTAGTGGGGTGTTTTTCCC